AGCTGCCCTTCTTCTATTCAAGCCCCCCTCCCTTACCCCTTCCTTTTAGCACCCTTCCCAGTACCTAAAAGTCCCTCTTAATTCCTCAGTGTTCCCACTCCCTGTTGTCCTTTTCCATCTCTACTGACCATTATTCTCTTCTGTACTTCTACAAGGCTGAATTTTTGGTCTCCTTAAATGAATGAGAACATGTGGTATTTATCTTTTCAGTGTCTGGGTTATTTCACTCCAAAATAATGTTATCTAGATGCATCCATTTTACTACAAATAACAGGATTTTCATTTTGTGTGTGTGTGTGTGTGTGTGTGTGTGTGTGTGGCTGACTAGTAATCCAATATGTAAATATAACATATTTTCTTTATCCATTCATCTGCTAAGGGCATCTGGGTTGATCCCATATTTTGGCTATTGTGAATGGTGCTGCAACAAACATGGGGGTGAAAGTATCTTTGGTACCAAGATTTCAACTCCTCTGGGTACATGCCCAGTCGTGGCATTGCTGGGTCCTATGGTAATTTTATTTTTAGTTTTTTGAAGCATCTCTTATTGTGTTCCACAATGACTGTATTAATTTTCATTCCTACAAGCACACTGCCACATTTTTTGTCCCAAGGAATAAAGATTAAGCCACTAACAATGGCTATGGAAATACTGAAATCATAAATCATAACAGGTAAATCTCAGAAGACATTTTCTTTGAGGACATTGAAATACTCTACACACAGATAATACATATGTAGAAGATGCTGTGTAATGATGCTGGTACCGTTGTTTGTGGGGCAGTCTTGCTCTACAGATGCCAAATCCTTGAAAACAAGGATTCTGTTTTCTTTATCTTTAATTCCCCATGCTTAACATAATTGCTGGCCCACAGTTGATGCTCTGAACATTTTTGATGAATTATCTAAACTATTTCACATTTCTATTCTTCCAGAAAATTGGCACCAAGAATTTTCAATGGACAAGCCACTGACCTCGCTTGTTCTTATGAGGAATTAAAGTAAATAAAAACAAGCTCATCATCCATGCCCCCAAGAGGCACACAATGGAGATGAGATAAAAAATATATACATCTAAGATAATTAAGTAGTAACATTAAAGCTGTTGATCAGGTGACAAAATGAGAAAAAAAAAATACTGTTGAATTCCAGAAGAAAGAGAGTGGTGTGGAGAGGTAGGGAAATTCCGATCTACATATAAGAAAATAACAAATTTTTTTTGATTCATTTTTTAGATTCATTTCTCAAAAGAACATTCACTCCAAGCCAGGTGCTGTGGCGCAAGCCTATAATCCCAGTGGTTTGGGAGGCAGGAGGACCATGAGTTCAAAGCCAGCCTCAGCAATTTAGTGACGCCCTAAGCAACTCAGTGAGAACCTGTCTCTAAATAAATACAACAGGGGCTGGGGATGTGGCTCAGTGGTTAGGTGCCCCTGGGTTCAATACCTGGTTCCAAAAAAAAAAAAAAAAGGAACATTTGTTTACTCTAGCTCTGAACTAAGTTTGTTTTCTTCAATCCTTCATGCAACAAGATACAAACAAATATAGACATTTTAATTCTTTTTCTTCATCATTTGCCATATATTTTGAGGATTTAAAAAGTGGCATTTTCAAAGCTTTGAGTAGGGAGCAAGTGTTATTTTTGGAAGTCAGATTGAATGCATAGAAAGGCACAAAATAGTGATAACTACAAAGTCATGAAAGGGAGGGAAATAATGGAATAAGTCATAAAAGTGAGTGTCAGGAAGGGGCAAAATTGTGACGTATGCAGTCAAGGGGAGAAATAAAAAATGTCCACGCATTTCTGCCCCTTTCAATACTTTATTCACACAAATTACTTAATACAGTTTCACTCTTTAGGTTCTTATTCAAGAAAACGACAATCCTTAATGCTAGGCTCTACAATAGACATAATTATTCACAGCAAACGATTCTAGACTAATTGATTCACAGCACACAATTCTAGATGAATTCTAAGCACTGCAAAACACACTTAATCATGGTAGACTAGTGACAGACATTTCCTCTGCAGGCTAAGTTCAAAAGTCTTAAGCCTTAGGCTTTATGTCCAGCAGATGCACACTCACTCAGACCGCAGTGACCAGGTCCGGAACCCAGGAAGGCTTTTCCTGGCGTGGAGTGGGGAGGAGGGAGAAGTTTCGGCTCTCACCAAGGTCCAGACGAGGTGGTAGAGTTTGAGAGCGGTGAGGATCACACAGAGGATCAGGAAACGATGACGAGTGATGGGATGTCCGTTCCTCATCAGGCTCTCCAGCTTGAGTGCACCCTTGTTTCGGCTGGCTGAATCCCTGTTCATTTGCTCTATCATTTATACTAAATTTTGAGGCTTTTGACGCCCCCCTTTCAATCCTTATCAGCTACCACAGATTTCTCAGTGACATCACTTTCCTTGGGGTCAGAAACATCTGGTCTGGTGGTCTCCACCCTGATCTTCTCACCTTTTCCTTTATCAGGGGAGGACAGCCTGCCAGGGGCTTCACTCTGTTTATCAGGGTGAGGGGAAGGAATTTGTTTGTGACCATACTGGAGGGCTCTGTGGGTGTGCCTAGTGAGACTGCAGGTTTCAAACTGGAGTATTTAAAATGGAGTTGCTTAAGCTTAGGACAGGCCATCCTAACAGTGTGTGTGTGTGTGTGTGTGTGTGTGTGTGTGTGTGTGTGTGTGAGAGAGAGAGAGAGAGAGAGAGAGAGAGAGAGAGAGAGAGAGAGAGAATCTGACAGTATTTCTATAGAATTAGAATTTTAGGAGGTCATCTGGTTCATCTGGTCATCATGTTTTATAGACAAGGAAAGTGAAAATCTGGAGAAGACATAGGGCTCATTCAGAATCATGGCAGCATCAAGGCTAGACTCCAAGTCCCCACGTTGTCTTCAGGGCTTTCTTCTCTTTATGTACAGAGCTGCCACAGCGGGACAGAGAAAAGAGCTTCAGTTGTTTGGAAAGATGAACATTTACTTCCACAGTCTCCATTCCCCTGGGAAGTAGATGAAGGGAAGACTGATGAAGAGCCTTGGCAATGAAAAAGTGTTGGGACTTTACGAATCCTATGTCCAGTTGAAGGTGAAAATTGACCTGTTCAGTCTCCCAAATTATCCCCAAGATCATACTTGCTCTCTGTCTTCTCCCTCACTGCTTTGGTTGAGGCCCTCATCATTTCTCACCTATGCACCCCAAATGGCTAACTGAGCTCCTCGGAATCATGCTCCATGCTATTGCCAGAGAGATGTCTCCAAAACACAAATCTGATCTTGTCAGCTCAGATTTAGCACAATCACATAGCCCTCAAGATTTTAACTTGGACTATATGATGCGTATGACACTATATGACAATCTAACCCTCCTTTCTGACCCTCTGCCAGCGATATCTGATTCCTGTGATTGCAGTTTCTGGAAATTCCACATTTTATTCTCTGTGCAGTCTCATCCATCTTACCTTGGCTCTGGGCCCATCCTGCTCATCCTTCAAGAACAGGCTGCTTTTCTCAGGTGTGAGGGTTAACACAACTCTCCCAGCAGGGTCAGCCAGAATCTCAAAGTGTGCTCCATGCACTCTTTAGATATGTCTGTTAGTGTGTGGATCGCATGCTCTGTAACGGTCTGCTTCCATGGTCTCCTCTCCTGGAGAGCAAATTCTCCTTTAGAGTACAGACTGTATCTGGTGGAATTGACTCAACAAACGTTTGCAGAAAGAGAGGAAGGAAGGAAGGAAGGGAAGGAAGAAGTCAAACTGATCATCAGTAGAGAAGAGACTACCACTTTTTTGTTTACTTCTCAAAGATTTTTTTCATGTGTGTGTGCTTGTATGTGTGAAAATAAATGTTCCCCTAGCCAGGTATGGTGACACCAGCCTGTAGTTCCAGCTACTTGGGAGGCTGAAGTGGGAGGACCACTTGGGCCTAGAAGTTCAAGGCCAGCCTGGGCAACATGACAAGATCCTATATCTTAAAAAAACAAAAACAACTTGATCTTCTTACCTTCCCCAGTCCTACTCCTCAGAAGTAATTTTTTTTTTAGTTCCTCTCTTCCAAATCCTTCATTATACCTGTATAAAAAGGTATGCAAACATCTTTTAAAAAATAAATATAGAATCATATTATATGCGTTCTTTTACTAGTTTTGCTCAATATGTTACGAGCATACATAAAGATCAACCACTTTTTTTTTGAGATCCAATCATAGCCATTTAATTTTTTTCAGGTTTCTTTTCTTTATTTTTTAAAAATATTCAATCCTAGGTATATACAGATATAAAAGGCAAGATATGAATTCAAAATTTTTATAGTAATATTCACTCATACCCACAGTTCCTTAGGGGTGATTCCTTTCCCCAACATTGAGTAGCTATTGATTACTAACTGGTTATAGATTAAATAAACAATATCAAATAAACTCATCATATTCCTTGAGTCTCACTTTTCCTTAAGCCATATCATTTTGATTAATGTTTACTTTAAGATAGCTATAAAGTGATTCTTCTATTTTTATTTTTAAAAAGTTTTTGTATTTGTTTTTTCAATTTTAATGACAGTAGGATTTTTTTTTGACATAACATACCTACCTACATGGAGTGTAACTTCCCATTCTTGTGGTTGAACATGATGTGGAGTTTCACTGGTCATGTGTTCATATATGAACACAGGAAAGTTAAGTCTGATTCATTCTACTGTCTTTCCTATTCCCATCCCTTACCCTTCCCTTCATTCCCCTTTGTCTATTCTTCCCTTCCCTTCCTCCTTATTGTGTGTTAGCATCACTTATCAGTGAGAACATTCTGCCTTTGGTTTKGGGGGCTGGCTTATTTGATCTACCTCATTTTTTAAAAAAATGATTGCATCACATCCCATAAAATATATGTGTGCCATATTTTAAATTTCCCATCATTTAGAGATAAGTAAGTTCTAATTTTTACATATTTATGCTGCAATAAATATCCTGGTTTGTCTTTAGTCTTTGAATAGTTTCAACATGGTGACACCACCATGTTGATCATAGTGTCTGCAAGAGCTTCCCAGTGTGGAGTGAGTGATGTGCAGAAGACGGTATGATGTTTGCAATGGTCCCTGTTCTGCCCCTATTTCTTGTGTATTTTATTCCCTTAGCTCTTGATAGAGTTAGAGACTGTAAAGGGACTTCCAAGGGACACAGAGTGGAGATTCCACAACGTTTTGCTAATGTATAAGTGTCCCAGGAAACTTTGAAGGCTCACCATCCAGTTATATGAGTCACTACTCTAATTAGATTCCATGGTATTATACAAATTTTTCTGTTTCTTTCTGTGACATTTTTATTGGTGCTTTATAGTTTTACATAATGATGGGATCTGTTGTACATATTTATACATGCATACAATATAACTCTATAATTTGGCCAATATCACTCCCCTAGCACTTTCCTCATCCTGCCCCCATCTCCAAGTCTTTCCATCTTGCAGTCAGTTAATTAGTCATAGAATTGTGCTCTGCATGAAGAAGGTACAAAATGGCTGAATAAGATCCAGAGAAAAAGTTTCTACCAACCTTCCCCCTTTCTTTTGCTGTAGGCATTAATCTAACCCAGTAGCCCACTAGTGTATGCATATTGTAGAGGGGAATATTGTATTTGTGGCAATAGAATGGGGTTTCTTTTGTAGTTAACTAGGGGAAATGGTGTTTGCTGGGGGTCTTAAACTGCTAACCACGTGCTTTACTCCTCCTCCTTCCCTGGCTCCTGCCTCTCCCTCTGCCCTCCAAACCCTATCAGACCACTAGAAAGGGAGGCAAGAGGAAAAGCAGAGAGTCCAGTCCGCCCTTGCTTTTGTGTCTGCCCCCTTCTTTCCTTCAGGCCCGCCCTTCTTTCTTCTCTCTGGAGTGTGTGGACCATTACTTATATTTTATTTCTACTGCCAATTAATTTTTTTCTGCTCTCCTTCCTGCAAGACTCAGATGGACGATAAAAAGCCAAGGAAACCGAGTTTGACTTCCTTCCCAATTTTGAAAGCAAAAAAGAAGCAAAATTTCACCTCTGTGAAGGTAAGGATTCATGAATTTCAACTAGTGACAAGAGATATCATTGTGAAATCTTGGGACCTGGCAGTTGTTATGCCCAAGCACCTTTGAGGATAGTATAAGGGGAAGATATGAAGGCCCCAGCTGATTGGTGGAGGTCTGGGTGGGCTTGGAGGGAAAAGCAGCCAGACAGGGAAGATTTCATCTAGCAGGCAGCTTGCATTTGGGAGCCTCTGGATTAGTGACTTATCCACAGTACCTTTTATTCTTTTCCTCATACCTGCAACCATACCAGCAATGTCCTGCAATAATTCTGAACAAGTATTCAAGAACATTTCCAGAAAATGTGTTTCCCCTAACACAGAGGCCATCTCTTTTTACTCTGCCTCAACTAACTGAAGGCAGAGCACTGAAGGTAAGACCCTATGATGTAGTGAGTGTGATTACGGTCTATGAGATCAACGTCTATATTATATGTATTTTTAAATCTCACTCAGTCTGAATTCCTCAGGGTATTAAAAAGCTCCTTTTGTCTAGGATCTTTGTTCAGAATGTTTTGCAGCAAACTTTAGCCCAAAGCATCCAGCCTGCATTACTATCTGGGAGAGTCAGCCTTCAGCTGCCTACTGGGGCCTTCCTAGATCCTCTCACAGATCACAGACCATCTCCTTGAAATTATAACCCCAGGTCACTTTCTCCAGGTAGTGTTCCTGATTTAGTCATAGCTTTCTGTGCCTCAGAATTACAACTCCCAAGAATGGAGCAAAGCCAAGCCTATCATTCTACACCCCACCTCTGCCTTTACCACATGCAATAGCAAGAGTTTATTTTGCAATTTGTAGGTACAAATATTATTAGTATCTGAAACATATTTCTTTTGATGAAAATTACCTTAAAGTATTTGACACAGTAAATCTAAAGCAAAACATGATAATATAATAAATACAACATTCTATTAAATCTTAGAGTCTTACAACCTCAGAAGGAAGAAGTCATGATTTTACTTCAGCAAAATCTTCATGAGTTTTGCAACTTGCAATTTTTCTTTTTTCATTTTCTTCTTCTTTTGTCTTAAAAATCTGCTTAAACTCATTTATTGAGTGGTCAAATGACTCTCACATGAACCCTTAGAGACAGGTGCTTTTATTCTAATTTTGCAGGAGGGGAAACTGAGCAAGGTTAACTAGATCACTAAGTCTGGAGGACAGAATTCAAATCCATATATGTACCCACTCTGTTCTGTGCCTCTGATGAGTAGTACCAACTCTGCTAAATGTTGTTCTAAAAAGTTCTTTATGCATTTAAGTTAATTTTAAGGAAAGCAAATTTTCTGTAGCTATATGACAGGAATAAAAAATAAAAATACCACATGCACATCAACTCATTTATGTTGTATTTTACAATAACTACCAGCAAGTTCATAGTATCTTTTTTTCCTTTTTGGTACTAGGGATTGAACCCAGGAGGGCTCAACCACTGAACCACACCCCCAGTCCTTTATTTATTTATGAGACAAGTTCTCACTAAATTGCTTAGGGCCTCACTAAATAAATTGCTGAGGCTGGCTTTTAACTTGTGATCTTCCTGCCCCAGCCTCCTAAACCTCTGGGATTACAGGCATATGCCACCATGCCCAGCTCACAGTATCATTTTTAACTAGTATTTAAACTTGTAACTATGGTCTTTACATTGCTAAATATTCTGGTGGGATTTAAATAATTATCTTTTCACCATCAATTGGCATTCCCCAACGGATTTGTTATTCCTTTTTATTTAATAGGAATGAGTAAGGAAGTACAAACACATCAAGAACTGTCCTCTGCATGTGAAATTTTAAGTTTCAGTGGATACATATGACATTAATTGATGGATAAAAGTGAATCATATGAATAATAATCCCTTCACTTATGATAACACTGGAAATGAAGGGCTGTGAATCTTAGCATATCAATTGCCCCAACCCCGTGTTAAAAAAGTATTTTGAATATTTAAGCACATTAACCATAATTTCCATTTTCAGTATTTAATAGTATATATTATAAACAAAAATCATATTAATAATCAAATATTTAATTATTATTATTTTTTGCTATGCTAGGGGTTGAACCCAGGACCTTGTTCTGGGTGAGTACTGTACACTGAGCTACATCCCAGATTAAAATATTTTAAATATGTAACTTGGTAATAATTTAGCCAAGGGATTTAAAAAAAATTGTTTTCATTTGTCCTGAAGACAATGGTGCAGTCCTCCATCTAGTTATAAGGGATTCGTTTCACAGTGCCCCCATTCGTTGACTGCAATGTGTAACATGACCACTAGAGAGCCGTCTTCCCTTTGGCTTCAAGGCTGGTAGAGATTCTCCATCTTTTCTGCTTAGCTGATGAGGATCAAAGAACTCTCACAGTGGTCCTCCATGCACTTTAGGATATGCTCTGTGTTATAGTTTATCCTAACTTCTGGGAGAAGCAGCAGGTACTCTCTCTGGACCTCGGGCCTCTCAGCTAGTAAGCTGGAGGACACTGACTTTCCTGCTTCTCTCTTCAAAGAAAGCAACATTGGCTTGCAGCTGATTTCTGGGATTGGAGGAGCTGTCAGGACTCCAAATATCAGGTTGGGTCATGCCAGGAGGAGAACCTGGGAGAAGGCCATGGGGAAGAGAGTGCTGTTAATTTAGGATATGACTCTTCAGCATCCCTGACAATTAAATAGGTGTGACAAAGTACATCCAGAAATGTGCTAAAGACACAATTTCTCTTTTCTGCATTGTGAGTGCAGGTACCTACCAAAGTACCTACTTTATTTCTTATTTTTCTTAAATCCTTTAAATCATTCAATTGCTGTCTTCACTTCTTTACACAGGCTTTCCTTTCCTACCCTTTTCAGTTACATGTTTATTGCTTGTCTCACCCTCCACAATAGGACTGCCCAACATGGTAGCCACTGGCCATATGAGGCTATGGAGCCCTTGGTGTGTGGCAGGTCCAGATGGAGATGTTCTGTGAATGTGAAATATACAGCAGATCTCGAAGACTTGGATGAGTGTAAAATAACTTATTAAATGTTATTTAAGAATTGGGTGAATTTTATAATGTATCAATTAATACCTTAAGGAATTTGTAAAAATAATTTTGGATCGATTCATATTAAACTAGTATCCTGAATATGTTAAGTAAGATATATCGTTAATTGCACCTGTCTCTTTTTTACTTTTTAACATGACTATTAGAAAAGTTGTGTTAGGTAGCCTGCATTATATTTATGGTGGAACATATGCTGTAAAAGGGACATTCCGTAACAGCAAAGGTATCCTTAGACTGGATCAGTACCGAATCCCCATAACTAGGATAGTACTGGCACAGACTAGCACTTGAAGTGTCCTTGTGGAATAAAACCCAGGAGTGTTTATTTATTTGCCCCTTTAAATACTTAGTGTCTACTTGTTTCAGACACTGTTTTAGGTGTTGGAGATACAGTCAAAAAGAAAACAGGTTAACAAATTATTATGGGGCTTAAAATTGAGATTCTTCGTAGGAAGGCCAGAGATTTTGGTGAAAATGTTGAGAATGGTAATGACTAGCTCTCATTTTCCTTCGTGGTTAGGGTTGCGATTGACAGTGTTTTTTTTTTTTCCACCTTGGTTATATATTTAGAATCTCCCAATCAAGTTTTAAAGACTACTGAAATCAAAATTTTTAGGGATTATAGACATTTGTTAGTTATTTTCTATCATGTGTGGACAGATGTTCACTTTAACTCTAGCTGTGAGATCTCGATTAGGTCGTTAAGTCTCTGGCCATTTGTGAAACTGGAATAATTAGTCTTACATTCCCCGACTGCAGTGGTATTGGTGAGGTAAGAGAACATGAACTCTGGGGCTGGCAGATTTTAGAATATGCTTTCACTTTTCCTTCTCTCTTCATTTAACAGAACGGGGTTTTATGAGACAGGCTCCTAACTGAGTCTCACACAGTAGAGGAAGGTATCTGAGGGTCCTTCCCTCTGTCTCATTTCTGTCTCTTATCAGCAGTCCTTTTACAGAAAGCAGAACCAAAATGAAACGAAGAAACCCAGTCCAACCATTTGGTATTACTAAGGAAAGAATGGAAATTACACTCAAAACTGAAGAGAGAAAAGAACACATTCCAGTTGCCAGAATTGTTTAGGTCTTTTTTGGAGGGGGGGAGCACACTAGCACACTATTATCTATGAATTCACCTTTCATTGCAAATGAAAGGTTCAGACTAGAAGAACTTGTAATGCTCATAAACTAAATTGTCAAACCATTTAAACTATAACCACTTACAACCAATTTAGAGTTGGCATCTCAATTAAAGTTAGGCATATACTATTATGTAATGTAATTTGAATGGATTTGGAGTCTTGAAGGAGCACAATTATGCAATTTCTTTCCATTCTCTCCCAGGGTCCCACTTTTCCTCCTGAGATCTACTCGGTAAGTACCAGTTTCTTTGTTTTGCATTCCYATTGCTGCTCTAATTTGGAGAGAGAAGAGAACAAATATTGGAGATTGCATTTCTTATTGTGGAAAGGATGCTTAAGTGAGCGGCTTAGGAGGGAGTTTCTGACTGATAAAATGAATCAGAAAAAAATAGCTACTTTTCACTCTAGAGTCCGTGAAAAATGGAGTATCTGTCCAACAYGGGTGTTTAAGGAGATACTAGAAGAAAATCCCCACCCTACCCATATGGGTTTAGTTTTGTATATTTGCTCCTTTGAAAAATCTTGAGGTAGTTATCACCCCCGTTTTACAGAGCAAAGCAAGATCTCAAAGTCATCCTGGTAATAAAACCTGAAATCAGGATTCAGGTTTTCTTTTGCAATTCATGAATGCTTTTAAAAAATTGCTTCTCATTATTAATATATATAAAAGGACATTTAAGAAATATATGTGACACCCTTGTGTGTGCCCAACATGGAGTTGAAGAAGTCCCCTGAGTGTTCTTCCCCATTGAATCTAATCCTGATCCCTCTGAGCTAACCTCTATCTTGAATTTTACAACTA